CAAGCGTCTCCTTGCTGGTTTGCAGGCCGCTGATAATCTCAACACCCTTCTGAACCGGGACAGGGTTCATGAAGTGGGTAGAAACAACTCTGGACGAAGCCGAGGTGTCATTGGGATCAGTGGTAGTGGCCGCAGCAATGCGCGTAATGGAGATTGAAGAGGTGTTGGTGGCCAAGATTGCGTGAGGAGGCGCAATCTTAGCCAACTTGCTGAAGATCTCAAACTTGAGCTTGGGAATCTCGGGCACAGCCTCGATGATGAAGTCGACAGATGAGAAGTCCTCAATATTGGTGCTGGGTTTGAGTAAAGCGCGGGCCTGGTCGGCCTGCTCTTGAGTGATTCTTGACTTGGACACATCCTTAGCCAGAAGCTTCTCTGTATCGGGCTCGTCAGCAATGGCATCACTCAGCTTGCAGCTCGGAGAGCTCCAACGCACCAGCAAAAGCAATTCCCTTGTTCAAGGCCTGCTCAGAAGAGTCGACAACAGTAACGGGAACCTGAGCTTTCTGCGCGGCAACAAGAGCAATTCCCAGACCCTGCACACCGTATTAGAGCTTCGTCTTCACATGTAAGAGAGCAAATCGCCTACCATCTGGCCGGCGCCAAGGACACCGAGACTCTTGACATCAGCGGCATGCTGCCTTGGAGTAGAGCTGAAGCAGCGCACCTGGCGCAAAGCTCCCAGCGCCCGCCCTCGAACAATTGAACTGGCCATTTTGGATTGTGAAGAATGGATGAGAACGATGAGGCCTTGGACGGCTAGAGGAGGTACATACATGGACGCTTAATATGAACAGCCGCAGCCCGGGTAACCTCGGCCCTTGGCCCACGGCTACGGCTAGCTACAGGTACATAGGGCAGGTTGGTAGGGGCTAAAGGTTAGACAGCTTATCGGCTGCCGATGATGATCCGGCTATCAGACCGCGTAAATTGGTTTGCTTTTGCGCTGGAGCGCGTCGAGCTAGACGCGTGCTGGAGGGGCTCTATTCTAGTATAAGCTCCGAGGGCTTGTAATTGATTTGCTCGGGGCACTGCGTTGGGCGCATTGAATTGTCTTCGATGTTGCTGCTGTCGCTGATCCATACACCTTCATATTCGTAGCAGCTCCTCGCAAGTCTGCTAATATGGAGCTGGCCGACGGCACAACGGACATTGTTCACCCTGAAGTTCGGGCGCACATCAGCAGCCTCGTCGCAGCGGTACGTTTCAGAGCAGCTGCACTTGTGCCCTGCGAAGCTGCTCAATCGAGCTTATACTAATGGATGATGCTAGCTGGGAGGCGCCAGTACGGAGGACGATGGCCGATACCACCTGGGAGACGACGCATTGGAGGTCCTCCGCGATATCAAACGATGGATTCGCTTTTACGACGAGAAGACGAACCGCATGGATGTTGCCCGCTGCATCCACGAAGCGAACCTAATCGAAGGAGACTTGCTTCCGATCTTGGCGACATGGCCAGAAAATGCCACCGATATTAAGTACAAGTCTCGAATTGCGCTGGCGTGCTTTGAGATCATGGTCCCTTTGACGTGGCCGATGGAGCGAGACAAGGAGCGAATGACAATCAATCACCACCGGCATATGCCTGTGCTGGAGCTTGCGCAAGTTCAATACAAGATGGCCATTATCAACTTTGATGAAGCTCGGATTCTTCATGCTGCTGTCAGGACCGCCCTGCCGTCGCTGGCTCTGCCTGCTAGCGATAGAGCGGCACGAGACCAAGGCATTATCAAGTTGGTGCTCTTCTTCCTCCGCAACATGGCCATGATTGCGCCTCCTCCCAACGTTCAATATGAGGGTGATGAGACACAAATCTCGCGGTCAGCCACTATCGACGCCTTCTCATACCAAGACATATTCCTATTCCTGCTCACATTGGCTTCAAATATGGGCGACGACTTCAGGACGGAGGATACTTCTGTTATGGAGATTATCTACCATCTCATCAAAAGAGTGGACATAGAAAAGCTCTTTATGACAGAGCAGCAGGTACATAAGGCCAAGGCGCATGAGCTTACATCCCTGATGAATAAGGAGTCTGCGATGCTCAAGGCTTACACCCGCAATGGCCCGACCCGACACAACCGCTTCGGTACGATGATTTGGGTCAAGCGTGAAGATGGCAAGATGTCTTCGCTTTCAGGGCAAGATGCTCTCGCTGACACCACAGCACGCAATTTGAAGATGGATAAGAACAAAGTGTTCAAGCCTCCTCGTAGGACAAAGAAAGAGAATAAAGACGAAAGGGACCTGGGACCACCGGCGAAGCTTAATGCGCGAGCAACCGGACAGCTCCGTTCATTTGTCGAGGAATTTCTTGACTCGGGCTTCAACCCCCTCTTCCAGCATGTTCGCAAAACTATCGACAGAGAGGCTTCACATGTCATGCAGTATCACAGAAGGCAGTTTTTTTACCTTGTGGCATGGTTTCTCGAAGCTGAACGAACACGGCAAAAATTGAAAAGGGACTCTAAAAAGAATAATGACGATGTATCCAGTTTCAGCCTTGTAGCGGGAGTTTTGAACCAAGAAATGTTTATTACTCTTAACAAGGCAATGCACGAAGCATACGAGTACAAGGACTGGCATGAGCTGGCTGCTGTAATGAGATGTTTCACGCAGATTCTGCTTACTGTCCAAGCGATGACCGAGAGTGGCAGAGAAGATGACGAAGAAATCGCAGAGAATGTACTAAGCCGTTTGTTTTATGAAGAGTCGACGCATGATACCATCGCCAACATAATCAGGACATATAAAGACCAAGGATTTTACTATTTGGATGCGGCTACGGAGTTGGTCCATCATTTCTTGCGGATTTTAGAAGCATACTCAAAGCAGAATGCGGACATGCAGGTTCGCTCTCGCAAACGAACCCGGCAAAAGAAGAACAAAGATCAGCAACAGGGTACAGAAGATGGCGTCTTGGCCGAAGAGAATGATGACTCGGCCAATGATGACGAAGCTGCAGAGCGCACCTCGAAGGAGCGCAAGTTCGATTTCCAACGCTTTGCGGCTCGCTTTACGCCGCAGGGTGTTGTGAATACGTTTGTCAAGTTTACGCGTTTCTATCAGGATATGGATGATTCCCAACTGAAACGTGTTCATCGATTCTTCTACCGACTTGCTTTCAAGCAAGAGATGAGCGTTATGCTTTTCCGCGTGGACATAATACACTTATTATATAACATGATCAAAGGTCCTGAGCCTTTGGATAAGGGTTCAGGCATGTATAAGGACTGGGAAGAGCTTGTGAAGCAGATCCTTCGCAAATGCTTTAAAAAGATTGAGCAGAGACCAGAACTCATAATCGAGATGCTCTTTAGCAAACTGCAGAGCACTGCTTTCTTCTTAGAATACGGATATGAGAAGCAGACTACCTCTAAGAAACAGGCGAAGCCTGGTGGTGAGCTTGTCTTCAAGTATACAGAAGAGCGAGATCGACAAATTGCCATTGTGGTCGGCGCACTGCTCGACAAGAATGAGGGTGATCATATCAGCTGGGTGAAGAGTATCCTCACTGCGGCCGAAAGTGAACGTCGGTCATGGGCTGCGGCAGAAGAAGCTTTGCCATCAACCGAAACTCCGATGGAAGAGTCGGCAGATGCCAGTGAGCCAAAAGAGTCGAGCAAGCCTCCTCCATTTAGTAAGTCACACGGGTTCACTGTATACAATATCTCTAAAGCTAATACTATATGTCTAGATGTACGTCCTGATAGCGACGCGAGACGCGCTGCTAGGTTTAAAAACTCGTACCTACGACTTCTATTAAATCTTTGCGGAATTCGGCTGTTTGGCCCTGCAGATGAAGAAACACCAGAGTCTCTCTGGATTCTCCCAGAAGACGTCACAGCCGACTCGCTCAAAGATACATTGCATTATATCAATCAGGCAGAATTTAGCCCTCCAACGTTTGACGACGGGCAGTTGGCAGAGAATCAACTTAAGAGAAAACTACCGCCCCGCAAGAAGGCTGATTTTGACGATGACGAAGACGATGACATGGATGATGAAATTCTGTTCGAGCCTGGCGGCCCAACAGTAAGAAAGGTCATTGATGAATCAGAAAGACCCAAAAAGACAAAGAAGAGGAGGCGGAGGAACAGCCAGGCTCTGGAACTGGACGATGAGGAGCTTGAAGAAAAGGCCCGTAAGCGACGCGAGCGCGAGCGCGAAAAGGCACGCAAGATCAAATCCGCCGTATACGTCAGGGAAGGAGACGATGAGTTTGACGAAGAAGAGGATGAAGAATTCTTTGCTCGCGAGCGGGAGATTGCCGCCCGCGCCGCCAAAGCTGCGCAGTCGGCCGCGGAGCCTGTCATTGCCAAAAAGCCCACAAAACGCAAATCCGCAGTGCAGCTCGACAGCGATGATGAGGGAGGTGAAGATAATGACGATGATTTGTTGCTAGGAGGCTTGGTTGACGATGAAGAGGCGGAGAACAGTAGGGATGATGATACCCCCGCCGAGGAGAGCGATGGCGAGAGCAGAAAGAAGAGGAAAGTTAGCGTGGAAGAAGATGGTGTTGACGCAGAGGGCGATGATGTTGATATGGAAGATGCCTCGCAAACGCAGCAGTTGGAAGCGAACGCTGCGGAAGAGGGCGATTATGCTCCTGTTGTGGTGGCCCGTAGGCCGAGAATACGAGGTGGGTTTGTCATAGATAGCGATGACGACGAATAAAAAGGATGGGTGGGTGCGATTTTTTTTTTTTTTTTCAAGTGTATACGTTATATATAAAAGAAGCATTGCGAGGAATTTATTTGGGAGGGATATGGATCACGGCTACGTGTTTATCGGAAAATCGTATAAATTGATGGGTATTAGGCAGTGCCTGCAAAGATGTCATACCAAGTATTCTATTTTGTACATCTCAACTTCATAAGACTCTCCGAAATTATTCAATAAATCCACGCTGTAGATGTCGTGACCCAGGGTATCATGTACTTTTTCTTTCCCGCTTCCTTACATTATCATGAGCAAACCAACTCATGCGATCGTCATGCCGTGTCTGACAGTATGCGCCCTCCGCGTAGCCGACCGTCCCTCTTGTCAATGCTTCTCCTCCTAGTCATCGTATTCTGCGTGTTCTGGGCTTGGCCGAGCTCCGCTAGGTCTTCTTGGGCTTTATAGCGAGCGGCTGCATCATCGTCGCTAGCACCGTTGGTTCGTCGCGAGGAGGACGAGGATCTGCTCTGTATTGGTGCGTCCTCGCTGCTCTGGGGTTCGTTTTGACCACCGCCCCAAGAGCCGCCGATACCTTCCATGGTGAAGTCTGAGGCAGTTGGCTCGTCGAGGGCCATCAATTCGTCTGGGTGGAAGATCCTGGGCAGGAGGAGAGCGCGCACGGGAATGAGGAGCAAGATTATAATGGGAAAGCCGACGGCAGCGATGGTCTGTGTGATGGCGAAAGTGGCACCGAAGCCAATGAGCTCAATAATGACGAACATCCATATCGCGATACGGCGTTTGATTAGCTTGAGAGGGGAATTTGCCGGCGTCAGGTTCTTGTCGCGAGCCAGGAAGAGCAGCTTAGCTGTGATGCCATTTGCCTGAAGGGCTTGAACGCCCATGATAAAAAAGAGTCCCGCCAAGACTCCGTGAGGAACAAGATGAAGGACCACAAGAAGAGGACCAGTCATGGTGCCAAGGGTAAGAAGCCCCTGAGCCAAGTTTGATACACGTTGTTCAACAACATGGGTCGTCTCAAAGGTATACGCACCCTTATCCTCGCCCTTTTCATCGAGCTGCTTGACAGCCTTGGTGACGCAAAGGGATTCTGTATGAAAGGGGGCTTGTGGAATCAGGCCATTGGGGAAGGGCAGTCCGAGAATGCCAGCTACTCCAGTGGTAATGCCGAGAAGGAAGAAGTCCCAATGGAATCCAGCCGGCTTTCTCAGGGGAAATTCACTTCCTTGTGCAATAAGGGATGATACTTTTGTAGTGTTAGTATAGTGTATCCTACGAAAATCGAGTGGGGAGAAATGTATAGGAGCAATCATACCATTATGGTCAAACCAGAATAGGATAGTCAGGAGTATGGCAAATGGCAGCGCAGTGAAAATTTGACCAACACTCAAGTCCCAGAAATTAACAGCCCAGCCTCGGTCCGCCGTTGGTTCAAAGGCCTTGCTGGTTGGGAGCACCGCGAGGTGGATCTCGGCCATTCGACCAATGTGTACAAAGCCAGTAAAGAAGATGAGAGTCAGTGGTGTTCCGTAGTCTTTCAAAAAGACACGGATTGGGTGTCTGAAGAGACTGCTGGCTCCGAGTTCACTGCAGATATAGGCCACCATAAACAGCAGCAACGCTGCGACAATGGAGAGGTAGAAAGCGCTGTCGCTGCCAAGACGCTCCAGAACTTGAATGCCTTTTTGGAGATAGATGAAGGCTACGTAGAAGCCAAAGATGTCGCAGGGGAACCGTGTTACCCAGCGGAGCCAGTTGCAAGAATTTGTGATGGCAAGGATCCAGTGCAAAATCAGAGACCATCTAGAGATAGGGTCAAAAAAGATGGGTTATTAGTCTTCTCGTAGTTCCCTAGTCCAGGAGTGATGGGGACGCTTACATTCCTATCCAAGCCATGAATCCGAGATAGTTGACGCCAGTTGGTTTCATAATGTTATATACGGTACTATCAATCGTCAGTTATTAGGCGAATGTCGCCAGATGGCTTGTATCTCAGCGCCTCTCGTACCTATTAAACACAGTAATGGGACCTACGGAACGCCAGAATCAGTATCAAGAAGGCAGATCAGTATGTGGCATATCGTACCAGTTACCCCAACAATGACAAGTGGTTGGGCAGAAAATATGGAAAAGACAACGGAGCCGAGAACAGAAGCCAGCAGAACTTCGTTAACACCATAGTTGGATCCCGTATTCTGGAACATGTCTAGCGAGAAAGCAAGAGCAGGTAGGATGCTGTCAATGGCACAGACATGTTAGCAAATGCCCGCTTGTTTGCTTAATACGAGTAGGAAAGGAAAGGAAACGGAAAAGGGGTCATTGATTGCGTACTTTGCAAAATACATAAAGACTGTGGCGGGCACAACACGATAGTCCCACGCGTCGAGCCAGTCGCTCACATAGTAAGGCGCTCTCCGACGGATATCGTTGACCATGCCACGGAAAGGATGGATGCTCCACCAGGCCTCATCGTCCCGCTGTGTCATCGACATGGACGCTCCGCCACCTCCTGGTGTTGACGCTGCTGTTGCCGCCGTTGCCATGGCTGGCCGCTGGTGGTCCTGGTGCTTCACTCCTCCGTCAAGAGAGCCGTCGGCCACGATATTGGCCATGCCGTGCAGTTCCTCGGTGCTTGCGCCCTCCTCGTGCCGTCGATGCTGCCTCTCAGCGCAGAATATGCCGAGACCAAAATGCAAGACTCTCCGGGAGTCGCGAAACCGAGAGCAAGACTGAGCGGTCGGTATGTGCTATCTCCTCATACCAAAGACATCGAGGCTGCGAAGGAGTCTGCACGTAGAAGAGCAGAAAGAGCAGAGACCGAGAGTCTGGTCGACGCTTTTATGGAGTATCAACAAGGGAGTCTTGTCGACGCCCCCTGCTCAGGCAAACAGCAGATCCTCCACTGCAGTAGTTCAAGCTGGCGCCAGGAATTGACTGCATGCAAGGCAAAAGAGCCAATGGTTTGTGCCTGTTTTCTCTGCTCTCCTCCTTTCCCCGCTTGGCTATATGTACAATTGCAACTGTACCTGGAGAAGAAATCCATATCATTTTTTTTTTTTCTTTTCCTTTTTTTTTCCCTCCCTGGCTTTTTAGATTTGAGATCGGAAAGACGGCCCCAACACTAGGATTGCCGCTATGACATCGCCGCGCACTGAAGATGTGAAACATTGCCCAAGTGGGTTTAGGCCTTCTTCTGCCGTTTACCGCATTTTTGCTCTCCACATGCTTGACGCATTCATTCATTCAGCGGCTATCAAAATAACATACAATTTTTTGTTCTGTCTTACCGGTGCTACGTATTGCATGAATATATCTGACAGGCAATATTAGTAGTAGACGATACTATGTATATAATCAACAACCAGTCAAATTGAATCCCTGTCGTGTGGCCCAGCCCAGCCTCCATCTCGCCGGAGCACACAATTTGTCTTTTGTTTCGACACCAGACGTTGGACATTCTATGGTTCGAGACAATCCCCCGAGCCTCAGTCCACCCAAGATACTTCACAGCGGGCGACAAACGGCATAAGACAAAACACCACACTGCTAAAAGAATAGAATATATGCCATCTAATAGCCTCATGTAGCAGGGAATCTAAAAACCCACCACGGCAATTTCTCACTCGTCCCTTATTAGTGTGGAACTCTCCTCACTACTCGCAGCCGCCAGCGCCGGTGCCACTAGCCGCAGTTTATTCGTAGCATAAATAATAATGATGATGATGATGATTACTGCACGACTAAGACAGAGAACTTTTACAACCAACCAGAAGCAATTTGACCTTAGCAAACGTGAATTGATGCGGGGGATTTCATATGGCATCTGTTGTGTAACTGTGACTATTGCAAGCCCCGGTCTTTTTTTCTCCCCAGCCTGATATATTGTATTACCTATATACATGTACATTCATTCTAATTATGTACAACAGTATAAGTAAAAAAAAAAAAAAAAAATTTCTCTTAGGAAAAGTTAAAATGCTTATGCCCTCATTGGCTATTCTTTTGACTACTTTTTCCAAGAATCATGCCCAAAATAACGGTCTCGGCGTCCATTTTCGGACCTCAGCACCCTGGAGCGTCGCCACTTTGGAGCCCAGTCTAAGGGAAAAAAAGGCTTCCCGCTGTGCAGCCCATCACTTTTTCTCTCTTAGCGCCTCTCTGGGGGAGGAACTTTGCCGCCCAATCATCTTCGGCCCGGGGCCATAGCCAAGATATTTTCCCATTGCCATTTCCAAAGGTATGTGTGTAGCAATATTCACCCTTTTCTCATAGGTTACAGATGACGCACGGCACCTCGTCTACATACATACATGTGCATCATCCTCGCTCGCGGATGATGGTGGCGATATAAAGTCTACCTTGTGCCTAATACCTACAGTACATGTTAGCTGATGGTTATACTCAGTGCACGTCAATTGTAATACCGTAATACAACGTGCCTCTTACAGCTACATCTCACTCGGCATATATGCATTTCTTCACCATCAAGACTCCTTTTTTTTTCTTTTGGAGCAAAGCAACACTCTTCTACATGATTTCTTCATCCTTTAGATTTATCTACGGTTCTAAATCCAGGTACAAGTACACAGTAAAGTTCAAAAAAGCCCCCCTTTTCCTTTTTCCCGCTAGACCCCTAATATGATGATGGTAAAAGTACATACAGTGGAAAATGTGTAACATCTCCAGTGCCCACGGTAGAGTTGAGACTCGTAGAAAAAAATAAATAAAGAAAAAACAATAACACAAGCCGCCGTCTCCAGCCACGACAGTAGCGGGGATTGTTTCCCGCTGCGCTGGCGAAAAGCCGCAGCAAGCCAATCCAGACATATTGTCAAGTTCCCGGCAGCGCCCCTTAACCCCCCATTCCCACTGACATCCATGTCTCCTCAATCTTCATGCTCGCTTCATACTTTATAGGATTGCAATCCTCGTCGAAATTACCTCTTGACGCCCGATCCGTCCTCTGAAATATCACGAAACGCGGGAGCGGGCGTGCCCGTGGGCGGGTCCTCCTTCGGCGTGTCTGTCTCAGTAGGGAAAGGCGGCGGAGAGCTCGCCTCTTTGCCTCCTCCAAAGAACTTCTCAAAGTCTTCATTGTCGTCGAATGGTCGCTTGCCAAGAATTCTCACCATGTCATCACGGGAGAGAACCTCCTTTTTCAGCAGCTCCTCAGCAATTAACCCGACTTGCTCCTTCTTCTCCACCAGCAGGTTTCGGCATCGAGTATAAGCTTCTTCCACTATACGGTGCACCTCTTGGTCAATCTGCTGAGCCGTAGCCTCGGCAAATGGCTTCACCATGCGGTTCGGGTCATTCTCAAAGTGCACTGGCCCCACCTTGTCCGACATACCCCATTGAGTAACCATGCTGCGTGCCATTTGAGAGACCTTCTTGAAGTCATCACTGGCACCGGTCGTGACTGTGGGGAAATGTAGCTCTTCAGACACACGTCCTCCCATGGTCATGGCCATTCGGTCCATGAGCTGGTTGGTGTTCATCAGATAAGCATCCTGGGGCAGGTATTGCGCATAGCCTAGAGCGCCTTGGCCGCGGGGAATGATTGAGACCTTGAGGAGGGGATCTGCGTGCCTGAGGAACCAGCCACAGATGGCGTGTCCAGCTTCGTGATAGGCCACCGTCTTCTTCTCCTCCGGCCTGAGTACGAGTGACTTGCGCTCTAAGCCTCCAATGACTCGCTCAATTGCGCGCTCGAAATGTATCATCTTGACGTCGTCTGCGTTCTCTCGTGCGGCTGTTTGTGCCATTAGTATCTAGGTTCCTATCAAATGTCTCTCATGTTTATTACTTACCAATTAGAGCTGCTTCGTTCACAACATTGGAGATATCCGCACCGGAGAAGCCAGGGGTCAAGGTAGCAAGTCGGCCGATGAGATGTTCATGATCCTCCTTGGTAACAATCTTCTTGAGATAAACCTGGAAGATCTCTTGTCGGCCCTTCATGGTAGGTCGGTCAATATAAATGTGCCTATCAAAGCGGCCAGGACGCATCAGGGCCTTGTCCAGGATGTCAGCACGATTGGTACCGGCCAAGACAACGACCTGTTCTCGAGTGTTGAATCCGTCCATTTCTGTGAGAATCTGGTTAAGGGTAGCTTCGCGTTCGTCATTTCCACCGAATCCACGACCGCTTTCCTGTCGAGCACGGCCGATAGCATCGATTTCGTCAATGAAGATGATGCAAGGCGCATTCTTTCGACCTTCGGCAAACAGGTCTCGTACTCGAGACGGACCCACGCCAACGAACATCTCCACGAACTCAGAACCGCTCACGCTGAAGAATGGGACGCCAGACTCTCCAGCAGTGGCCTTGGCGAGAAGAGTCTTTCCCGTTCCTGGGGGGCCGGAGAGGATGGCACCTCGAGGAATCTTGGCGCCCAGCTTCTCGAACTTTTCGGGCTGCTTCAAGAAGCTAACGAATTCCATAATCTCCACCTTGGCTTCCTCCAGACCGGCAACATCACTAAACTTGACTTTGACTGCGTTCTCGGCGTTGAACTTCTTGGCCTTGCTTTTTCCAAAGTTGAACATGCCTCCAGCGCCACCGGCCCGCCCGCTCATGGACCGCTGTGTCCACAAGATCAGACCGATGAATAGGAGAGTAGGTCCGAATGCCAAAACTAGGTTGCCGACAGTGCTGCCACCTGCTTCGTAGCTGACAGGTATTCTCTCGGACGGGGGAATGCCCAGCTGATCCTGTGCTTCTTCGAGCTTCTTCTCAAAAGACTCAACTGATCCAATCGAGAAGATGTATGTTCTTCTGGCGCCAGATCCATCAGATGTTGACTGAACAGCGTCAGGATGTAATTCCACACGCACTTGAGATCCATTGACGACCACAAGTTTCTGTACAAGGCCCTTGTCCAAGAAGGCCTTTCGTAGCTCCTGCCAGGTGATTTCTTTCTCAGAGAATGGTCTGCTGAATGACTCGATTGCCCAAAGCGTAATACCCAGGACGAGACCAGTCTGAAGGGCATCCATCCACGAGTTCCTCTCGGGTTTCTTGGGGTCCGATCCTTGCTGGTTAGATTGTGATTCACTGGAAGCCTTGTGTGATTGGGCTGCGCTTTCTTTCTTATCTCCGTAGTTGTGGTCGTTCATTTCATTGGTGTTCTGGTCAAACATGCCCCGTTTTCCTTGTTGCTGCTGTTCGACTTCCCATTCCGCTACCCTTTCGGCCATGACGAAGACGCATCGCATCAGCCGGCCCTTGTCAATTATTGACAAGTTGCCAGGTCCCTGGCGCATCTTATGTAGCAGATCTCGTATCTCAGCTGGAGCACCGGTGTGCTGAAGCCCCACCAATATGTCCTTCAATGTCTGCCTTTGGCCTTCGGGGAGCATCTGTTGAAACGCCTGCAGCTGCGATATCTCTTCCTTGGTCAGGCGAATCCAGCCCTCCGGTAGAGGAGGCAAGGGCACCTTCTGTGATTCTGGCCCGCCCTCTGTCTCTGACTTTGCTTCATTGTGATTGATTGATTTTCCAGAGTCGGAGTTTTTATTTTCATCGGGATGCGGGGTTTTGGAGGAGTAGTATCGCGGGAGGATGCCGTTGTGCGCAGACAATGCTCTCAGAGGAGCTGTTCTGGAGCTGGCGACAAGTCTTTGTGTCCTCTGTAAGCTTACACTGGTCGAGAACCTGGCCAGCTTAGCGAGCTGGCCCGACTGGCGAAGATATCGTGACATGGTGGATGGCGGCGGTTTGTGAGCTTGACGGCGGATCCGCCGGTCCTGGTTTTATGGTAAATGCGCAATGCAGCGCAATCTCACTCGCTGCGCAGAATTGCGCTTGATAGCTCGGATATGACTCTGCCAGGAAACAGATAGATGCTAAGAGAAAACTGAAATATTCCAACGCCACTGCGGACTTAGATGACACTACGAGACTGAAGCCTGCCGGCCGAGGGTCCACGTCTAATCCCGAAAATTGTACGGCATCACGTGATGTTCTCCGACGCAGCGCAGGTAGGCCCTCGGCGGATCGGGATTCCGCCCGTCGAAAACTCCGTGCTCTAAAACTTCCCATACCTATCTAAGGCAGTAGATTACTATTGATCTAGCGATTTCACCTGTATCTATCTATCCACTATGCCCAAATACAAAAGGCCAACTGGGAGAAAACATGTAATATTTATGCACCTAGTTTGATGAAAATGGATCGTATGTTGCCATCGCCTTGTATCGGGATAGCTCGGCTGGATCCGTCCTGCATTGGGATTTCCAGCAGACAATCTTTATCCCCAGCTGAAGCTAAATCTGGCCAGTCTCTCCAGACTTGCACCTCAGAGTTGGCTGAAGGATTGTTTTGAAGAAATTGTGATATGACACGGCGGGCCTGCTCTTTATCGCCAATCTCTAACAGTATGGCTCTCGGTTTGAGGTGGCGTGCAATCTTCAATAGTCTTGCATAAAAGATATCCTCATGGTTCCAATTAACAGGAATCGGAACATCGTCTCTTGGGACCAGAGCTAGGCTCGGTTCATATTTGCGAACCGAGTATCCAACCTGGCCACCGCCATGATTCCACGCCCGTCGGGAGATGTAGGGAGGGTTGGACACCATCACGTCCCAGTTACGTCCTTTTAGCTTCTCAATGACTTCATCGTGGAAGATATCCTCCTGCATGATGTCGAGGCCATGATTTAGCTGAAGGTCTGGGAGATTGCCAAGCCTTGTATTATGGTCGATATTGCCCCTAGCTAGTTTTATGGCTTGGGTAGAGATGTCCACTCCAAGGACGTTCAGATGGTCAAATTTCTGATAGAGCAAAGCATAGAGAAGCAGAGGTATACATCCTGTTCCTGTGCAAAAGTCGACAACACTGAGGTCGTGTTTGGAGCCACCAATCTTCAAGCTCCCAGACTTGATTAAGTCAGCAAGATGGTAGGTGTACGCTTCGGTCTCAGGTCTTGGGATTAGAACACCAGAGCGACATTTAATATCGAGAGGCCCAAATGGTTGAGATCCCAAGATGTACTGCAAAGGGTAGCCTTGCCCCCTCTTCTTGCATAGCCGTGCGAGCAGGCTCCCTTTGGCAAGATGTGCAGTGCCGTTGACATGCTCTTTGAGCCATCGCAGCTCATTGATGGCAGATGGAAGGTCTCTACAGGCTGGGAGTAATGCAGCGACATTGGGAGAGTGGCGATTGGCCTTGCGGAAGAGCCATGGCGAGATTCGCGGCATTGGCTCTACTTTATAAAGATAGGCATATCTACTGGCTGAAAGCCAGAGACGCAGACGGCGAAACGCTGCTGCTAGTTTAGAGTTCTAGGCCTATGTAGGTTGAAGTGCAAGCAGCAAAAAAAAATAAACGGCCGACTATTAGCCGATCTGCTCTACCAAACTCGCTGCCAATGTCATCCTCCCAAGGCTACTTTCGGACTGCGACATTCAGAAGCACTTTCGACCGACAATGGCAAGAGAACCCTGCTAAACTAGACCTTTGCCAAAAATTCCTCTTTTTTGGATTGTCAGAGAGAATTTACCTCCAACGATTCGCGATAAAATTGCACTCATCTTATATCCCCGGCTTTTTTGACAGTCCTCTTGGCGGCATCCCTTATCCGTGCAGCCTTGCCACGAGATTTCATTCTACGCGTTCCTGAGTGAGCCATCGGGCTCTCAGAGCTGAAACCTGCTATTTCATCAAAATGAACGCACCTGATCGGTATGTGGCTAATTTGATCATTGGGTTTTGGTTTTATATCTGTTAGATTCTTCCTGCTGTTTGGTGATGTACTCCCGGAACTGAATGCCTTCACACTCGAATGCCCGAGTCTGGGAGGCAGGTCAGGACTGTCTTTCACTTTGGAGCTATTGTTGCTACCAGCGGATGTAACCTCTCTATTTTATGCCCCTTAGGCCTCTATATATTCTGCTGTATGCAAGTGCGTGCCAGCAGCTATAGCTCATCGCCAGCTGGAAGTGATCGCTGCCGTCACTTTGAGTTTACTTTCTCCCTTAAGACATAGGAAATCTACGCTGCTGAAAAAGTTTATTATCAACATGCCCTCTTAACTGCTTTTTTTTCCCACTCCTTCCCACTCTGAATATTTCAGCACTGCATCATCGATGCTATCCTGTGTCCATCATCCATCCCCCTTCCAGTTTTCATCATTCTATCTCCAGCTGTCAGCGGCCATGGCGGGATGCAACGCCAAACATGACAATCTTCAAGACAATCCGTTGCGTCTTTCTTAGTCTTCAGTTTCTTTTATTACCTGTTTTATTTGATTAGTTGCTGACAGTGGCTTAGTTTCGAGCTCTTCTTGCTCGCCGATGGCGAGAAGAAGATTGAGGAGAAGGTTTATTCTGGTGGGTGGATGATTATCACCCTTGACGACCCCAAATGAGAGTCTAATGTTTCTTGTTTCTTCATAGGCATGTCCAACACCTCCGACTTTATTCTAAAGAAGGAGGATCACACGCTGGGCAACCTGCTCGCTGAGCACCTCAAAGCCCACCCCAACGTCTACATGGCAGGATACAAGAGTGAGAATTGATTTCAATGGCAAGCGAGATTACCCGTGCTGACCACGATGGGTAGTTGCTCATCCTAATGTTCCTGAGCTCTATATCCGCGTTCAAACAGACGGAACCATTTCACCACGCGACGTTTTCACATCAGTATGTGAAAAGCTCATCAACCAACTCGAGATGTTGTATCAAGAGTTCACTCGCGAGTGGGAGCTGAGACGAATCACCAACACTGGAGACCAGGGTAATATGCCATCGAATGGCCATTAGAAGATTTCATCAAGTCGTCTCATAGACAGGCGTTAGGGGAACAGAAAGATTTAGGCTTTTGCATTTCGGTTTTGTTTGGACCAGGGGAAAAATGAGCTTTATATTATTCAACCAAGAATCCGTTTACAAGGATTGTTAGGCCAGCTTAACAAAACTGGCGATCTTTTCCAACAATCAGAAACTATTATTCTGAGATAAGACCATAGTGTTTTTTATTCCTGTCATAAGACGCGTAACAATGAATATATGATTGCACAAGGGGGTACTATTGGTAACCATGTGCTGGTATGAAGATAGTTATGCCTTACGCTCTTATTTCTCAAGCTGCGGCACCAACTGGTCCTTCTCCGCCAGGGATTAGCTATGAAGCTGCGTTAGCAATTCTGAATTCTCGCCAAGCAATGAGGGGCTGTTGGCCATACCATGCAAATATTATTGCCGTTGAGCAGAATTTTAGGAAGCTTCGTGTGGTTTCCCGAGTAGTCACTAGTTGGGGGGGAAGATAGAGAGTCAACACCACAGTCTATAGTAGCTTCACACAGAAGACTCACAATTCCGTCACATCCTCCAGCACCATGTCTAATCTCTTGTTAGATAAAGTTTTTCCCATTGATGATGGATGAAGGAGGCGTCCACTTACTGACGTAGTCGTCAAAACCCATGAGCGTGCCACTGAATTCTGCCCAAGGTGTTAATGCTGTATCAAGCGTCTGAGATGAGGATGTGTGTTATAACCTTTGTCTCCCTTCATGACAACCCATATTCTTGATCCGACGCACTTGTCAATAAGCTCTGAAGCGAGGTGTCAGTGGCCTGAAATACAACCCCAGCATGAGGCACAGCAGAGGCACTCACCGAGGGGTAGCAGCTGTGACGCCATCTTGAAAAGCCTTCTGTGTATTTCCTTCCCAACTCCGTGAATACTATGGTGGAATATTATCTGACGAAGATGAAAAATTCCCACAAGCTCAGATGCTGGACAGTCTTGCAGAAGATCAGTCTCTCATTCCTAGTTCCCATGCAGCTGGCGGGCAGATTAGAGCCACCACGAAAATACTCTGCCCCACGAGGGTGACTAAGCACACATATGCGTTGCGTTTTCATACTCCTTCGTGCACCACGCCTAAGCGCGCTGAGACTTGATGGTTGCCTCGGCGGCCAATCATCACTATTCACAGACTCAGCTTCCACCCCGGCTCACAGCGAGGGCCTGTAACCAGCTGAAGGCTCGCAATGGGGTGATGACGGGGGCCCGGTTGATGTCGAGGCGCATGTTATTCAATAGCGGGCTTGGGTGCGCGCAAAACCCCCCAATTCCTATTTAACCCGTCGCCGTCCGGCTGGGAGACATGCATTCATGCCTGTTTACACACGCCGTCGGCTCGTCCAGAGGCTGCCTGCTTAGAGCCATGAGCTTCAACCCTCCCAACCAACTATGGAATTCTCAGTTTGGCGTTCGCTTCGGGGCGCTTGCATCGCTGCGCCAGGAAGCAAGTAATACTACTGCTGTATCTCAGTCGCTTCATGCTTCTTTTTCTGTCCAGAGCGACGACGGTTGGTCCCAGACCTCTGTAAACTCAACGCAAACAAGTGTATTCTCGGCCGCCGTGGTTCAAAGCCCACTGCCCCCAGCATCCAGTTCAAAAGATGTCGCAGCTTTTGATACTCGACGGCCTATTTCCCTCCCAGGTTTAGGCGTCGCGGCGGATGCAACAGATGCCATCGCCACGGCTTCTTATACTCAGCGGCCGACACATGCTCAACGGCCGCCTATTGCTCTCGCGGCCGATGCAGCCAAGAGCGTCGCCACACCCAACAGTGGCTCTGGCACTGGCACAAAGAAGGCTGTCGAGCCGCCATTTACACCACTAGAGTTCGCCATCTCCAGAGAGCAGTTTCTGGCCGCTCGCGCTGCCGTTCCCGGCACTCCAGAGTCTCATTGGTCATATACCATGTACCACCGAAATGGTGAAAATGGGGCCGTTGACAACGTCAAAGTCCATTATTGTGAAAGTAAATCAACCATGGAGCGCGTATGCGCAGAGTATTTCCTAGACGAAGATGTCATTGGCTTGGATCTAGAGTGGATGTCATACGCGAGGGCGGCGGATGGGCCACGGCGTAACGTCTCTCTCATTCAGATCGCGAGCCCGAGTCGTATCGCCTTGTTCCATATAGCAGTGTTTAAGTACGGTGCAGACCTTATACCGCCGTCGTTTCGCAAAATCATGGAGAACCCCAAGGTGAGCAAAGTTGGCGTCAACATCGGACCAGACTGCACACGGCTCAAGAACCACCTCGGCGTCAATGTTCAAGGCATATTTGAATTGAGCCATCTCTACAGGATCGTCAAGCATTTCCCGCACCAGCGCCACTTGGTCCACAAAGGACTTGTATCGTTGGCTGCTCAGGTCCAAGACCAATTACTACTTCCTTTATACAAAGGAGAGGTGCGGACTGGCAATTGGATGAGGCGGCTTAATCCACAACAAATTGACTGTATGAGAAGACTGCTACAATACCGCTTAAGCAAACAACAAGACTAACTAATTGCAGATTCCGCATCAGATGCCTATGCTGGCCTCCAGCTTTACTACGTACTTGAAGAGAAACGAAAGATGCTCGTTCCCTGTCCTCCCAGGCCTCATCATGCAGAGCTACGGCTGCCTATTTCTCTCCCTGATCCCCCAGAAGAAGCTAAGGAGAAAGTCGACGAAGATGCTACTTTTGTAGCAGACCCTAATAATACGAATGCTATATCTGAACCCAAGACTCCCAGACCTAGAGTTCCCAGACCTAGAGTTCCCAAGCCAAAAGCTTCATCAACGGAAGCCGCATCAACAGAGGCTACATCACCAGAAGCCCCTACACCATCCAAAGCAAGGTCGAAACGCTCATTGCCTAAACCTATACCTGTCGACACTAGAGATGCGCGGGTCATTGCGGCCGAGGTACAAATGAAGGAGTATCGTGCGGCCAAAACAACCGAGCTGAACACGCCCGCGCCGTGCCTCAGGGCGTACTACATCTGGCATCAAAACGAGGACCTCTGTCCTGGTGACATCGCAGCGCTTCTGCGGGATCCACCGCTGCTGACCAGCACTGTTGCGCATTATGTCCTTGACGCCATAAAGGCCGAGAATATGCCTTATCCTGTACTAAGATTACAAAAGGAGGTGATTCCTCATATCGACCTAAGCAAACCGTATTGGCACAAGCATGCATCATTGGTTCAAGAGTGTACAAAATTAGCAGACGAGATGAAGCGGGATATAGAGAAAGCAAACGAGACAAACGAGTGAAGAACACCGATAGACATGTATCACTTTTTTTTATTTTTTTTTTTTAGAATATTACTGTAGTCCTGGTATATTCAAGCCTGAAATGAAATTAAACAAACAAAGTCTATAACGCCAGCAATCCTGTGCCCCGGTTGATCTGCACCTTTTTGTCTTCTCCTCCGCTCACGATTCCCCATGTCTTGTCCCACACCACGCTCAACACCTTGGCGCCATCGCCAGCAGGAGGCAGCTTCTTGCCCTTCAACCACTCTCTGCCAATAGTATAGACGGGTTCGCTGACGTTGCCGTTGCCCTCGTCGGACGATGCGGTGCGGGTGCTACGCAGATCCCACACGCGACATGTGCTGTCGTGTGAGCCAGAGACCAGTGAGTAGTCATTCTCCGGGCAGGCAGCCACAGAAACAACCATATTGACGTGGCCTCTAAGAGTCATGGCGGCGGTTGCGGCAGCTGACTCTCTGGGGTCGAGAAGGGTAATGTGTCGTGCCGAAGAACCAGCCGCTACCAGATTTGCGCCAGGGAGTGCTGTTGCACAGAGGATAGGGTGCATGGTAGTGAGGCGGGAGACCTCTTGTTGTGTTGTGAGATCGATCGTCTTGACAGTGTGGTCCAAAGAAGCCGAGTAAGCGACGGTCGAATCCTTGGGGTGGAAAATCGCAGCGGTAACCGATTCGTCGTGCAAGGGAATCATTGCCAAAGGCCCACGCTGAGCAGTAGAGCCAGCGTTGGACAGCTTAGCTCGCTTGGTGTTGTGAGCGGAGGGGAGGGTCTCGGGATCAGCCTGAGGTGCTGTCCTCTTGGATGCGGACCACAGGCCAACGCGACCGTCTGAAGACGCTGTCAGAATACGTCGGGTGGAACCGTTGACGTCGATACTGTTGATGTTCTTCTCATGTCCCCAGAGTTCCATGTTGGGCTTGAGGGAGCCAGAGAAGCCATCGTTCGCCTCTTTGTAGTCCCAAACCATGACCTTTCTATCCAAGCCAGCGGACGCCAGCTGAGTTGGTGACAACCATCGCACAGCGTTGATGCGCTGAGTGTGTCCTTCGCCTTTGCCACCAGCGGAGACGGCAATCGCCTTTCCAGAGGGGTTCCAGATTCTCACTAGACCATCATAAGAAGCGCTAGCAACTCGCTCATTCACAGCAACATCTCCGGCAAGCAGTCCAGCAGCAGAAGTTGACGACAAGACATCAACTCCACTAACCCAGTCGTCATGCTCAAAGCTAGCCTCGTAAACGGGTGGAAGGAGACTGCGAACATATTGGAGGGTCAATGTTGTCTCTTGAGAAAGACCATTTGATTTGAGGTATTCTTCGATGCTCGTCTTCAGAAACGTGCCGTTCGCGAGGAAATCAAGAGGGACTGGTGATGAAGTATCCAGCATCGACTCGGAATTCAGAATACGGGAGAGGCCATAGCGCTTGATGTCTGTGATTTGTTAACAAATGTCAATTGGCATATTTGTTTTCCAGTCTGGGGGATGTTTCTGAGGAGATTCTCACCTGCTGGCACGAGCAATTGTCGCCTGGACTCTGGGAGGACGAGATCTTCCTCATTGGTGGTGAAGACGACCTTCACCTGAGCAGATGAGGCGTCCATTGCGGCGAGAAAAATCTAGAAAAAATTCAAAGCGCTTCTGTAAGTGTAAATAGAATGAATTATTTGCACGTCTTTCGGTTTCCGGGAAATTTGAAGTTGTGCTAGACGAAATTATCGTCCTGGCGCAAGTCGATGGCAGTGGTGTGCATAGGCAGGCTTAGAGAATCTCAAAAAATTTTGGAAGGGCAGCGCAGCCTTGTGAATATAGGATCCACTGCGGGGTTCATGTCTGAAACATTGGACCAATTGAAACCAAGATAACACAAGGCTGAAGGTGCGGTCTAATGCACGCTAAGCTGCATCTAGACCGCTTATGATGCTCTAAGACGCCAAAAAGCACAGCAGAGTGAGATAAGTAGTCAAAAAGAAGTGGGAAACAATCTGTGGACCGATATCATGCTTGGCTGGTCCCAGAGACACTATCCTTGTCCTCCGGGGAATTGATCAGAGAGATCTATACTGGAGACGGAATAGTCAGCTTATATTCAACAACCAACACACTTCAGGGCATCACAGACAAACTTGCTACGTCATGTTTGAGCGTAGGAGAGATTCAGCAGGCAGATCATGCTCGGAATAGACAGAGCACTCGTGATTCAAGAAGATGGCCTGGGCATTGTATATGCAAATTTGGCGTCACTGGCTTGCAGTTTGAGTACCGAATACAACCCAAACCGCCAAGATGGCGGCAATGGCGATGGGCCACGGTACGGCAGTGCGGAGGAGAGCCAATGCCGTGACGACAAATGCAACTCTCGCATCGGGTCGTCTCCCATTGGGGCCAATGGATAAACTCGTGGGAACGTCCAAGATATCCCATCGCAAATGCATTTACATCAGCCAATCCGAACCTCTGGTCACTCGACCTCGATCTGCTCCCCCGCAATCCATGGCGTCATCCCCACACTGCTAAGGTAGTGCACGAGATCAACTTGACACCTCACCTCCCGCGGCTGGCTTGGCTCGACCCCGCCGGCTACGAAACAGAAGACGTTATGCAGGGACATGAACCTAGAATATGTGGTTGCTGCTTCCCGGAGACGAGGGCGCGTCAGTGGCTATGATGCTGAGCGGCGTTGCGTGGCGGCCACGCTAGGTGAGGAACCATGCAAGCCTATTGGTGGGAGGACCATCGCTATATAGGCGTGGAGAAGAAGAGGCATACTATTGTCGGTAGCACCTGAGGTACTAAGGCATGGAAAAAAAAGTATAGTAGCCCTAAGCAAGTATTCATAAAGGCATGATCGCATAGCAGAGAGATATGGCATAAACAGAGGCCCTCCCCCTTAGGTAAGCGAGACGACGCCATTCCAGATGCATTCTCCCGTGATCCGCATGCATCAACTGCAGATATAAAACGCATACATGAACTTACTTGCACGGCACATTAACAGCGCTCGGTTTGCGCTGTTAGTGGTAGCCCAACCGCGCGCTCCACTTTACGGCCTTGGTGCATATCCCCAGACCCGCCACCTTTGGAGAGTCGAGGTCCCCACTTTCTTTTGTTGCACCCCTCCAGAGCTTCAGTCCAAGTCCCTCATCAAGTTCTTCTCCCCCTCCCGGCCTGATCTTCTTTTCTATCGCTACTGCTCATACTAAAGCCTCAGATTCGGCGTCAACTGTCCTTCGACTGTCTGGAGCCAGTTTCGGCGGTTCGCGGTCTCAGCCATTGTATTGCCTCGCTGCCAGCACCCTCTGCTACGCTCCCACGTTGTCTTAAGCTCTGACGCCACCAGAACCAGAGCTGCCAACTAACGCCACTCACACCACAATATCTCGCACCGAATTTCGGCCGTGCTAAACACAAGTTTTTCTTCGCCTTTCGTGGTAGCTACAGTCCTGGTGAGTTTTCCTGTTGCATTCTGCTGGCTTCTGCGAGCGTGTCGGCTCACAATTACCATGTCTAGCTTGTGCGAACTCGCGCAACCCTAATCCCTACGTCATCTGAATTGCCGCCTCGTGGCATAGGCTTCTCGCCGGAGCTATCACCGCTGCCAAACACCCTCTGCGATAGTCTACACTTCAGAACGACGCAATGGCCGACGGACACCCTGTTCGCGACATCAAGAACCACCTTCTCTTTGAGATTGCTACGGAAGTAGCTCATCGAGGTGAGTCGCATTCTGCCCCTCGCGGCGGCCATGCTCATTTTTGCCTCTGCGCCCGTTCCTGCCCAATGCCATGCACAACATACAGAGCTTGCCACGCTAACATGTGATTTACTTTACAGTCGGTGGTATCTACTCTGTGCTCAAATCCAAGGCTCCGGTTACTACTGCTGAGTATGGCGATCGATACACGCTTATCGGTCCACTCAACCACCAATCGGTGCGCCCTCTACCTTGCCAAAAAATTAATTAATAACTCAAAGTTGGGCAGCAACTGATGACAAACAGGCCGCAGTCGAGGTCGAGGAGATGGAGCCCACCAATAAGGAGCTGGCCGCCACCATGCAGACCATGAAGGATCGGGGAATTGGCATGTTGTACGGCCGCTGGCTGATTGAGGGCGCTCCCCGAGTTCTCTTGATTGATACCAAGACAGCCTACAACTTTGTCAACGAGTGGAAGTCCGACCTTTGGTCTGTGGCCAGCATTCCGTCCCCACCCGACGACGATGAAACCAATGAGGCTGTTGTGTTTGGATACTTGGTGGCGTGGTTTCTTGGAGAGGTAAGAAAACTTTTTTTGTCTCATCCCTAATACCCTAACGATGACGTTGTAATGTTCTTCTTGTCTTTTTTTCCCTCGACATTTAATTGGCTACGGCTAACATGCAAGCAGTTTGTATGCCACGAAAAGGAAAAGGCTGTCATCGCCCATTTCCACGAATGGCTGGCTGGTGTTGCTCTACCCCTTACCAAGAAGAGACGGATTGATGTTACGACCATCTTCACGACCCATGCCACTCTCTTGGGCAGATATCTTTGTGCCGGTTCTGTTGATTTCTATAACAACCTACAGTTCTTTGATGTCGATGCCGAGGCTGGAAAGCGTGGTATCTACCATCGGTATTGCATTGAACGTGCTGCTGCTCATTCTTGCGACGTCTTCACAACTGTCTCTCACATCACCGCTTTCGAGTCAGAGCATCTCTTGAAGAGAAAGCCTGACGGTGTGCTGCCCAACGGCCTCAATGTTACCAAGTTCTCGGCAGTTCATGAATTCCAAAATCTGCACCAGCAGGCCAAGGAGAAGATCCACGACTTCGTCAGAGGTCACTTCTACGGCCACTACGACTTTGAACCAGAGAACACGCTGTACTTTTTCACTGCTGGGCGCTATGAATTCCGGAATAAGGGTGTCGACATGTTCATCGAGTCTCTTGCGCGACTCAACCACCGGCTCAAGGCGGCAGGCAGCAAGATGACTGTCGTGGCCTTCATCATCATGCCCGCTCAGACTACATCGCTGACTGTGGAGGCTCTCAAGGGCCAGGCCGTCATTAAATCCTTGAAGGATACTACCAATATCATTGAGCAAGCCATTGGTCGTCGTATCTTTGAGCGGTCTCTCAAGTGGCATGAGGGCGACCCAATGCCAGATGAGAAGGAACTCATTTCCGGCCAGGACCGCGTTCTCTTGCGTCGGCGTCTCTTTGCCATGAAGCGACATGGCCTTCCTCCCATTGTCACCCACAACATGCTCAACGACAGCGAAGATCCTGTCCTGAACCAAATTCGTCGGGTGCAGCTATTCAATCACCCCTCAGACCGTGTCAAGGTTGTGTTCCATCCAGAGTTCCTCAACTCAGCCAACCCCGTCCTGCCATTGGATTACGATGACTTTGTGCGTGGCTGCCACATGGGCGTCTTCCCTTCATACTACGAGCCATGGGGCTACACCCCTGCCGAGTGTACTGTCATGGGCGTTCCAAGCATTACTACCAATCTGTCTGGCTTTGGATGTTATATGGAGGAGCTCATCGAAAACTCCAGCGACTACGGTATCTACATTGTAGACCGAAGAATGAAGGGTGTTGAAGATTCCGTCAACCAGCTGAGCCAGTTCATGTTTGAATACTGCGGCAAGAGCCGCCGTCAGCGTATCAACCAGCGAAACCGTACTGAGCGACTCAGCGACTTGCTGGACTGGAAGCGTATGGGCATGGAATATATCAAGGCCCGACAGCTGGCTCTTCGACGGGCATACCCCAATTCATTCACCGGAGACGAAGAGGAAGAGGAGTTGGAAGACTTTATCCGTGGACCGGAGCAGAAGATCTCCAGGCCGTTCTCCGTCCCCGGCTCACCTCGCGATCGCACTGGCATGATGACTCCTGGAGACTTTGCCAGTCTGCAAGAGGGGCGAGAGGGCTTGAGCACGGAGGACTATGTCGCCTGGAAATTGCCGTAAGTATCTCACACCCTTTGGGGTTTGCTCATCATACCGTTATCATCAGCTAACATGTTGGATTCTTAGTGAGGAGGAGGACCCCGAAGAGTATCCCTTCTCTTTGACTCTCCGAACAAAGCAACCCAGTGGCGTGGACCCAGAAACCCAGGCCACCCTGAACGGTAATAACTGAAAGCAAAGGCGTATCCATGAGTAGCGTACGTCCTGAATTTGCATTATATAGGGCCAGGGACGTTTTGATAGTGACTTTTGAGTGCATCAAATCTTTTGATATGTGTTTTTGTTTCTCCCATGAGTACGACCAGCATAATGTGGAAGCAAAAGCAGATTGGGTAAAATGAGAACAACAAAAAAAAAAGTGGAAGGGCCCTGAAACAAAGGTGCTTTGGCGGAGAGAGGGGGTGTATGTGACGGATCAAATATGGGTTTGATTGAGGTGTGGAAAAAAAGAGAAAAAATTACCAAATACTACAATGTTGGAAGCTGAGTGTTGAATGATAGACAGCTTCATTCTTTACCACGTGCTATAGTGAAACACCTTTGCTCCACGATGTACATGGCTAGGCTGTATGATATCACAGACATCACAGACACGTGCTCCGTTAGCACGAGGCGGGATGGGGTGTGATGCTGCTAGATAAGATGGCGATCCATCTAGCGTCGCAGCTGCGTCGAGAGCCGCCGCGGCTGAGGTCTAGCGGTGGATCTCTCATTACTGATGCTCCATAGCAGCCCGCAAGTGAGGTGAGGCTTGCGTTGTGTGAGAGATATAGACTACAGTACAGTACTCCGTAAGTAGGCAGTATATCCTCTGGAGCTCCAAAGCGCGCGCACACGCTGATGCTACTGCTCGTACGACTCCCGCTGTTACTATTAAAAGGTACGATATCATCTCCGAGTATCTGCAGAGAGGATCGATTGACAGGAGATAAGATGGGTCGTCATTATCCTAATGGCATTGATGGGCACAGGTATAAACGGTACCGTCGTACGAGAAAACCGTCCATGGAACGGTAAATGGTCGAATGAGCATCATGCGTTTTCTCTCAGTCTTTGATATGGTGGCCGAAGCGAGACCAGGGTCGGGATGCTAGCACTAACAAGCGAGAGAAGGGAAAATGGAGCCCGGGAACCCCCTGGGGATGTTCCGCCATCGCCAAAAAGGCGGTGATCGGGAAAAACGAGAGGCGATTGGGTGGGAAATCTTTTTTTTCTTTTTTCTTTCTTCTTTGCCAACAAAGACAGAGAACAAGGTGGGTTTAGAGCGGTTGCTAAGGCGAGATGGCGTCAGGGACGGCCCAAGATGGGACGAACGGTGGGATGAAGCAGATTGATGAAGAATGGAGCGGCTAGCGAGGAAGAGACACGACGGCCAGCTCGGAGCGGATTAGCAGCGGCGGTGAGGGCCGGGGACAGGGATAGACACGGCTGTCTGCTGGCATGGGAGGAGACGAAGATACGAGAGGCTGAGCGAGCGAGCGCGGGATTGGTCGGCGCCAAGCAAGACGGGCGATGCGGTGAGGCTTCTGTAAGGCTTCCGTGCATATACTATGTACACCGTATTTTTCGACACCACGTGAAGCTGTCATGGCATCGATCTCCAGCAGATACTGCATGCACATACACTACATGCCGTGTCTTGGACGGACTGAAGAAGCCAGCTGTGGCAGCGTCAAACCGCAGTCAAGCATGAACCATGGACCATGCTTGGCTAGCCAGGTCCCTCCGCATAGAGCACATCATATTGCGGAGGAAATTACTTACAGACGATCTCATCCGCTCTCTCTAATTGCTAGCACAGAGCAGTCTCTGCTGGGTATCCTGCATCACACACCAAAAACAAGTGCGAGAAACAAATTTTTCTCTCTCTCTTTAAACCCCTGACAGCTGGCCCCCCAGAGATTGTTGCCTCTTTCGGATAGCTTGCTGGAGCGCCCCTCTCCCAGCCGCGAGTGGCTCATTTCGGTAGGTCGCTTCTAGCGCCTCTTGTTTATTTTGTGCTTGAGCGATCCGTGGGCGCTGTTCTCAGGGGGGGATGTATCTCACAGTGCATCTATTTTGTTACTATGCCTTTTTTTTTTTTTTTTTTTTTTTCCCTTTTTTTTTTTTTGCCTTTTTTTTTTTTTTTTTTTTTTTTTTTTTTTTTTTTTCACAAGGCGCTCAACGCCAGCCAACAATTTTCTTGTTTTTTTCTTAATTCATGTTCCTGTTCGAATGCGGGGCCTGAGATGCAGTTGATGCGCTGTCAAGTCTATGCATGCTTGCTTTTGGCGGTGGAGACTGGAATACAGCATATGTGGTGTGTGTCTCACTGCAAGATACAGTAGTTGACTTCAGTGAGGCTGATACAATAGCAGCTACTTGTGTGTTTACAGATTAGGTACTACCTAGTAGTTGCAAGCATCAAAGACAGACCAATTCAGCTTTTGCCTTTCCTCCACAATAGATACCATGATTGAGTCTCTTTAAGATTTAGATCCGCAGTGAGTGAACTAAAGAGATTTGCAAAACTAGCGCCCGTCCTCTTTGTGCGTCATCTTATCTCGCTTCAACCACGGCATCTGCATCCAAGGAAGAAAACGGCACAGCTGTTCGCATTGCCAAAAAAGATGCAAGGCAGAGAAGAAAAAAAAGAAACTTGTCTCAGAGATGCGTTTTAGGGTTATACCGCCGGCGGTCTGTGAAGCGAGGAAGTGATGTGCAGCAACATACACATTGCAAGCATGGTGATTATATAAGACAATGTCGCAGTTGCAAGCAGAATGTACTGCACCGTATGTCAAACTAACGATTCGATTTCGGAGTGAGTCTAAAGCGTTTGGACATGTCTTGTATTCCGGAATGCCATTGAAACCGTTTCTTTTTGGTTCACATGACCGGAAAAGATGCACTTCTGCATCAAGCCGAATACCTAGAATCATAATACCTGATACATATTCCATTTTCAACTTCGCCTTGGCTTTGTTGTTTGCTGCCTATGCGTTACGCGCCTTGCACCTGTACGTAACGCTCGAGCTACGCCACGACCAACACATCACCACATTGATAGACAGAAATAGTACCACCCGTAATTACGCGTACAACAGGCAGTAGGCATTGCTGCCAAGAATGTCTACCTACCTTCACCTATGTGCCTGTAAATACAAGCACGGGCATGCTATACAAAGTCAAAGACAGAAAACAACAAGGAACAAAGGGCAAGGCTGCCTGCTAGGCATCTACAGGTAGGTGAAAAGGACAAAACCCGCAAGGCATCTGCGTCGCCGTCTCCGACAGCGACAAGGGCCTGTAATACGGCAATATGCCTATTTCGTTTGCATAAAACAAGAAGAGGACCCTTGTCACTCTTTCAGGTCAGTTTACTGTATCAGACAAAGCCCGTACAGTACAGTATGTAACAGTATACGAGTAGTAATATGCTATTAAAAATGACAAGTTAGTACCTAAACCCTGCTTTTTTCAACTCTCCTGAGAAGCTATACCATGTAATACCTATCATATCATGTACAGGATGTAAGTAGCTCGTACGGGATCTCTTCCCGTTCCGCGTGGCAATGGTCCTTTTTTTTTTCCACGTGCGAGAATTGGAGCAGAGATGACACACATGCCCCTTGACTACGTACATGGAGTACACGTATTTTGTCGATGCGGTCTGAGGAAAATGTCGAGATGAGGATTAATTGGCGCAGGACGGCTGGAGTGTGTGCAGCGAGACTCCGAGGGGAATATTGTGCTGGAATTACAGTGTTCCCAGCCTATTAACCTATTACCTAGTGCCTACTATGAACTTGACTAACATCCATTCGCTTCGTCTCACTCGCTCGCTCACTCTCACTGGACAAATACGGAAAGCTCAAGTAGAACCACCAACAAAAAAAAAATCACACATACAGGACACATTCACCGCCTTGAACAATCAAATAAAGTATCTGCAACGTGACCAGCATTAGACGTTATATAACAAGCTTAGTGGTGCTATTCCCATGCACATGCTAAACTGTCTAGGCCACATGTCGGCAAGTAGCTCAAAGCTCCATACATGTGCATGTACAACACATCGTCAACTCCACCATATCGGAGGGTATTACAGAAAGGAAAAGAAAAAAAAAAAATCTCACCATCACCGTGAGCTTCTTTTTTTTTTTTCTCTTTAGCCTTTTACCCATTAAATGAATGTGACTCTCAACAGTGACGTTTTACGTGTCTTTTCAAATCTATAATTGTTTTTTTGTTTCCTTCGCCTCCAATCCACTGCTTCACAGCCCAAATCTCTCATACAAGTCCATACTGTAAGCCTCACGCAACCAAACATATATCACAGTCAACCCCACAATCCACCACCAGCATCTCCAATCTCCAATAGCCGTAGCACCACTAGCAGAACCTCTCACGCCGTCACGCCCAAGATACCCACTCTGGGCATCGACGTACATACATGCACCTTTCAAAGTCATGACTTACAAGCATGTTACCCGCATGTGCTGCATTCAACACATTCACGCAATTTCTTCATCGGCCGGCATTATCTCCTCGCAGGCCCCAGCAAAGCCCGCCGCTTGTACACCGTGTTCCTGGCCGACCGCCTTCCACGCGCCAGGGGATGCCATACTTTTGGTGTATATGCAGGAGGAGGAATCTCTTGCCCACCCGGGCCCACGGAAAACCCTTGCAACGGCAGAGCAGCTTACAGAAGGCGTAGCATCGTAACGTCGGTGTAGAAACGTCAGATTCGCCTCAGCACCGAGTCACGTCTGGAGGGGGGTTTTATTCGATTCACACAAAAAATACACTTCACTTGGCGAAATGGAAATTACTCAGAACAAATATGTGCGCGGTCCAAGAAATTCTCTTCATTGGTAAAAGCATCTTGAACTACTTTGCGTAGATAAAAACGGAAATAAAAATGCACGTTTGCCAGCTGCTGCACCGATCGCATCGCGGCTTTCCATCCCACCTCCCTAGACTAAAAAAGCAAGAAAAAAAACGCCAAGAGTGTCATATTCGCATGACGGTACTCTTCTCATGTAGTCCCCACGTAAGAATAAAAGAAAACGCCATCTGTGCAATGTGCCCCCATTTTTTTGTTATGCCATATGAAATACGCCGCCTATAAAAAGAACAATGGTGTTGATAAAGGACAGGAAAGAAGAATAAAAAGGAGAAGATCCCAGCGCCGTCCGTCATAATCCGCAAGAGCGAAGAAAATAGAGTGGCCAGCCGCTGGTCGGAGCATTCGTGAAAATCGAAAGGAATGTGGACCCAGTATTGGGGTTGAAGGAGAGAAAATAAATTCAAGAGCGAGAGAGAATGGGAGCGGTGTATGGGCCTGCTCATACTCTGATGCTTCGTCGCCGAGTCAAGAAGCCCTGGCGAATCCGTTTTGTCGGTGACAGGGGTGACGATACGTCGCTAGCCGGCGACAGCGTGGCGGCTGAGTAGCTGCTCGCTCTCCTTGGAGCCATGGCTCCTGGGTAGGAGGGCAGAGCTGGCTGTGGTGTCGAGATGCGCGGGGTGCTGGTGTGGTTCTCCTCCTTTTCCTCGCTAAGCTGCTCCATAGGACCCGTCTGTATTGAAAGTGCTTCTCGAGAACGCGAAGCCGAGGGGTTCAGATTGGGCCTGCTACGCTTTCTGACCAGGCTGAGCGTCCTCTTGAACATTGCCGCCGTCTTTCGGAGCTGGGGCTCGGGCTGCTCAGGTTCTTCCGCTTCTGATTTTGATGCAAAGGGGTCCACGTTGAGGAACGAATTTGAGTCTCTGTCAAAGGTAACTGGGGACATGATGCTGCTTGAGCGTGGAGGGTGCTGGAATGCGACTTTGGCCGATGATGTAGACGAGACAGACTCCTTTCGTCTGCTAAACACAGGCTCGGTTGATATCCTTGTAAGCTCGGTAGCAGGGCGATCCGAACACGACGTCTGTGATCTCGATCTTCGAGAAAGCTGGACAATGCAAGGCTTTCCTGAAAAGACAACGGAGACTATCCGGGCAATGTCCTGGCAAGTTGATGGCTGCTCTTGCACCTCTTGTGTGTGCTCGCTATCGGAGCTGTAGTCGCAATCGGAGAAGTCGTCGGCGGAGGAGGAAACGTCCTCTTCTGAAGAGAGGTACAGAAGATGCGGGGCGGCGTGAGTGAGGACAGGTCGGTGTTGTGAAAGCTTCTGAGGCATGGTGGCCAGCAGGCGTGAGGCTCTCAGAGCGCTTCTGGGGGGTAGAGCTGGTGCCTTGGCTAGCATGGTTTCTGACTTTGTGGTGGTTGACGACATGGCGTTGTCGAATTGGGCCATGTCAGTGGTTGTGGTTGTGGTTGTGGTTGCGGTGCTACAAGTCTCTGAGCTTGGTGGGAAGCTTCTTCTTCTATACAATGTTCTCCCGGTGTGGTCCTGCCCCTCTAGAGTATGGCTGTGTGGAATGAGATCGGCTTGGATGTTCGTGTTCGAGCGGTCCACCAAGGACATGTTCTGGTGGGTAGGCGAGCGCTAGGAGTAGACAAGGGCTCGCAGAAGTCGAGACGATATTGAATGTTTCGTGCCCGTCCTCGTTTGTTGGCAGCTTCGCAGGGGTGATGCAAGACCAATATAAAAAAAAAAAAAAAGTAGCTGAGAAAGAAGAGAGAAGATGGAAGGGAGAGACTGCGGTGAGGTGGATGGGAGAATAAGGCGTCAAGAAGGGAAAGGGCGCTGGAGGGAGACTGCAGCGAGGAATGCAATGCTTCTGTTCTCGTCTGGCGCAAAAGAAGCGAAAAGGGAAAATGGAAGACAAGGAGAAGAGAAGAGAAGATTTCCTGATCGAGAAGGGGAAAAAGAGAGATCATGTCTCTGCGCCGGAAGGGGGGACAGCACATAGATAAGTGCACTGCTCGTGTTGTATGCATCGCAGGCATGGCATGTTCCACCGTCTGGCACGAGGGCTGCCGTGCACGCTGCGCAGCCCGCACTGGGTACTTCCAGCGAACGGCGCCCGGGCCACGGCGAGCGGGTCCACTGCGCACCTTGGCGTCTCCTTTTAGTCGAGCGTGGCAGGGGTTCTGAAAAGTGGGGATGGAGGGGCGCGGGACCCACTGGAGAATGATGGCCCAGCGCCGCGTTGTACTGCTTGTATACCGCCCTGGCATGGCTTGTACTGGCACTGGCTCTTCCCGCTGCGCACACATTCATTGCAGTACACTGCGCAAATGTCACTGACGGGCTCCCCTGCCACCGCATCGTTTCACAGGCCTGCCGCAGCCAACGGGCACAGCAGCTTCGTTTTTGCCTGCCAACGGAGCGAGCAGCTGTTTCTGTCCACGGGCGCTCCTCGCCATTTCGCTTTCGTCCAAGCTGTCATATTCTGGGCAAAAATGTGACTGCTGCAGAAGTCGAGCTGGGTTGCGCTTCATCGCATCGCATGCAGCGCCACCTCCAAGTTCCAGCCTGTGGCTAGAGACTCGCACAGCTCAATGCCATGCCTCGCTAAAGCTTCGTCTCTTCGCCAGCCACCACCTGCACGATGCCATCATTCCAACAAGCGCTAGCGTCCATTCTGCTGCATCCAGCGGGCACCTTTAATCGGCGAGCCTTTTTCCAGGCTGCCAGTAGCTCAGGCGAGGAGAGTCACGACATCAGCATATTGCTGCCCTAGGTTGTGGCTAGTCGTGCGCATCAAAATGCCTGCTAGGTAGGTATGCATTTCGGCATGTACTGCAATGCTGATACCTACTGCCTACATAGTATGTACATACATGCTGTATCTCATGGACTCCTCGCAGATCTCAGGCCGTAGTTGTGCTGATCCTTCTCTCCTGGCACCTGAATTACATGCACACTTGTGCCAGGTGGGTAAGGATGCTGGCGGATTGCAAGAGCCCTTGGTTATCACTCACTCTCGAGAAATTGTCAACCCAAACTCCAGCCAGAACGCAGACACACCACAAGGCAATGGGAAACTCTTTTCCCCACAAGTCGCCATCTGACGCACCGCCTGCTTTTCTCCTTGGCTGGCCCGTCCAAGGGAGCCGGGACGCGGTGACTAGAAGCCTAGGCAAGCCACAGCGGAAGCAAACAATCGAAGCACCAGCAGCAAACCCAAGGGACCTGGGGGTGGGCTTCTTAGTAGCATGCTGGGCAGATCGCCAATCTTCATCTGTCACGCGGGATTCTTAAGTGGCTACCTCATACATACCTATCCATCTACTACAGAGTAGTGGCATTGCATCTATGTACCAGATTGGCTGGGCATGTTCCAAAAGCATGTAGCTCGTTATTAAACTGCTTTCCACCCATACTACCTGTAGCAGGTAGTAGTATTGACGTTGCTCGGCAATTCGCGCCTCCGCCGAAGCACGGGGTAGCATCCAGCCGCAGATCGTCTTGGAACAGATGCGGGCATCCGAAACGGTTCATGGGAAGACGCTGATAGCCGTGCTGGGGGCGTAAGAAGATGACGCGAGTTGCCAGCACGACATGCATGCTATGCTGGGTATGCTGGTATAGAACAGCAGCTGTGGGTTTTGCTAAAGAAGAGCTAAGATGGTTGATGGCCCGTCTTTGACGATGAATTGCCGTGGCGGGCGGCAGTCTGCTACGATCCATGACTCGGCACATATCAAGCACTGAGGTAAGGGATGGAGTACATGAAATTGCCCGCAGCAAAAGGTCGAGCACTGCACCCATCACGCGATATCGGCCTCTGCTACAAGTATAATTGAATCAACAACAATTACATGTGGCAATACAACCTGGGAGCACGTTGCTATTTTTTCATCATTTCAGGATATTTCAGGCCGTTCTGTTATTAGAAAGAAGACCCGTCCAGGCAACCGAGTAATATTCAGAAGCACCAGCCAGCACACGTTCCCCAAAGCATTGGCCAGCCATCGTCGCCAACACATGGCTGGCTCAGTGTACAGTATGTATCCCATCTCTTGTTTTTACTTTTTGTTGGAGCAAAAACAAGTCCGAGCGTTTCCCTTCTGCTCCTCTCCGCCCCTTCAACTTCATCTTTTGATTATGTACCTGGTAATTAGTCCCCACGGCTGCACAGTGGCACAATTAAAAAACGCTGCATCCCGCAATGTTAGCAACCTGCCGCACAGACTGCGCCCTCGACGCAAGGCGGAAGGGATACACGGTGATCAAGGCACTTTGGAGTGGGTAATTTAATTTTCCCGTGGCCTTGGATGAGTCCACGTGTTTGCGGGTGTTGTGCGTGTTTGCGTGCATGAGAGAGACGTCGCGGAGTTTTCCGTACGAGATGCGGCTACCCTATCATCAGGGCTGATCGAGAAATAACTAACACATCTTTTTTTTTTCTGGCTTGTACAAGTAATTCTCCTTTCTAGCACGAGGCCATCGTGGCATTAGATGGATTCGTATTACTATCTTCCTGGATATGAGGCAGTCTCCAGGCCAATCCCCTCCATCCACCTCATGCCTGCAGCGCACCATCAGTGTGTACACCACGCCGTCGAATTGAAGCCAAGGGCTAGCATTTCCACCTCCCGCGATCCAATCATACTTGGCCATCCAGCCAGACTCGAGATTCTAGACCCGAGATTGCAGCTCTGCTAGCCGTTTGATTACATCAGAGCATGTGCACGTCTACTCTCTAACTGGCCCTGCGTTTTCCTGTAGCGCCGACCTGCACACCCACTCGTCACTGCTGGCGCTTCTCAGTTAGCCATCGCGCCGTCCAACCATCTGCGAATCACGGCACTGCAATGATGCAGGAGATGCACATGCAAAAATCCCCTCGCCCCATCTTCCCTGTTTCTCCCTCCCTGCCTGCAAGCTGCCGACTGTCTATCTGTATTTGAATATATACGGAGTACATTTTACGCTGCTAGAATCTTGTAGGCCAACATGCTGGCAACTACGTGTATTCTGTGGCTCACCTCAGATCCAAGTTAAAAAAAAAAAAAAAAAAGTCTCTGCTGACCGTACGACAGAAGGTATCACCCCGTCGCTTGTACAAACCCGAGATCGCCTCTACCAAACCCCTGATTTACAGCATCCGAGTCGCACCAGATTCCACGGCTGTAGATGCCTCCGTGCGCAAGGTTAGGCAAATTGCCACGCAGCGTGTACGCATTGCGCGGGATGGATTCGAAACTTGAAATCCATCTATACTAGACCTAGTGGAAGGCAAGTGAGGGAGCCAGCGAAGGAGATGGGCCAGGCTAAGACAAAGACAAATACTACCAGGAAGATACGCCAATTTTTTTTCTTCTTAAATCCATCTTTCAGCTCTTACTGCTGCCCATTTACTTGATACCCCCTCTTTGCAGGATCGCAGCCTTGGGAGCTTGCCCTTTCACAGGACCTCGTATCTGCCACAATGCATGTCTCAAACAAGACGCCACCAAAAACGACGACTTGGCGATAAGCAGCCTGATCAGTGGCACACACACACAAGCACACAAGGCTGGAACCTGCTACAGTAGTGCCGCAGAAAATGGCCATCTGACAGCTACCACTCGCGACGCGCAGCGCTTCAAATCTGGATGTCAACTCTCCCGCATCTCGATTGTTCCCTTGCTGTTTAGCCCCGGAGGCCTGAGTTCCCGAGCTTGGACGAGTATATACACATGTATCTGGACAGTAAAGCTGTACTGTATGCAGCCTTTTTGCAGAGTGCCTGAATCTCAGCAGCCGTTGATTACGAGTCGTCCAGTGGCCGTGCTCCAGTCTCTGGAACAAGGCACGACTCCGTACAGATCCTCCCTTTCGCCTATCGCACATCAAATCCCATCTTGCGTATGTACATACGTACAATAGGTATTTGCCACCTTGATGCCTATCACAGGCACCGAAATAGCAACACCGTTAGACATGACAGATCTCATCACCACTTTTAGATGCGATGGTTGCCTACAGGTAAGAGGTACAAACGGTACCTGAGAGTACGCACCAGCTGGAAGAAAGCCCCATAGATGGCGTCATGACGGGGCTGACACCTTCTTTTGACGCCAACCTACCTTGCATGCGCCACACCTTCTTACCATCAAACCTTCTTTTTTGGCGGGGGCCCGTGCCACGGGGACAGCTTACCAGCCACAGCTCCAACGGGGCGGGCTTCGCTATGCCTCAACCAGCTTAGTCGCATCTGCTTTCTTTGGGAGCGATAATCCATACGAACAATTCAGAAATAGAAACGACGCGGCGTCGAGCCACAGCGGCTGTGCAGCTCCAGCCAAAGATTCCACAGTTGAGAAAACTCCGATAATAACGGAGAATTAAGCAATATTCCTAATGAAGAGAGAGAAAAAAAAAAAAGATCAAGTCTCTCT